TATCTTTGGGCAGAAGCTGTCTCAACAGCTTGTTTCACTCAAAATCGATCTTTCATACATAGACGATTTAATATCACTCCATATGAAATTCTCAATAACCGAAAACCTAATGTTAAATTCTTTCATGTTTTTGGTTGTAGATGTTTTATAATGAATCTCAAAGACAATATTTCGAAATTTCAAGCTAAAGCTGATGAAGGAATATTTTTGGGATATTCGAAGAATTCAGTTGCATACATAGTGTTAAACAAAAGAACACGAAAGATTGAAGAAACTTTCAATCTCACTTTTGATGACTTTTATGTTAAACAAGTGGAAAAACAATTTGAACAAAAATCAATTTTAAATGAATCTGATAATCAAACTGAAGATGTTAATTCATTCGATTTTAATTATGATTTAATTTTTGGTGTTTCAGAAAGGGCTGTTGATGCCGAAGTTAATGCACTTGACAATCAAACACCAGAATCCTCAAAACATGCTGACGATTCTACACTTACATCAGACACAAGTGCAAATGCTGAAAATGTACACGAAGTTCATATGGAGGGGGAGCATACGAATATACCTCTAGATGTTGAGGGGGAGCATCCTTTTGAGGGGGAGCATCAAAATGACCATTATGATGAGGGGGAGCATAATGATACAGACACAATCAATCTTGATGAAAATGATGAGTTTCATGAATTTAATGATAACATTTCTGTTGTAGGATCTGAAAATGAAGAAATGTACGAAGATGCACTATTGGAATTTAATCCAGCATATCCACCACTTGAGAAATGGACGAAGAACCATCCAAAAGAACAAGTTATTGGAAATCCACAAGATGGAGTTTTGACAAGAGCTCAGATTCGTGCGAAAAATGAGGTACTCAATACGAATCAAGATTTATGTATGTTTAATGTTTTTATTTCGAAAATTGAGCCAAAGACAGTTAAGGTTGCAATGGAACACTCAGATTGGGTTGTTGCAATGCAATATGAACTGGCTGAATTTGAACGAAACAAGGTTTGGAGATTGATTCCAAAGCCTGATGATGTTTCGATTATTGGGTTAAAATGGATTTTCAAAAACAAAACCGACAAAGATGGCAATATTATTCGAAATAAAGCAAGGCTTGTAGTAAAAGGTTATTTGCAACAAGAAGGTATCGACTATGAAGAAACCTTTGCCCCTGTCGCAAGACTCGAGGCTGTTCGAATATTTTTAGCCTATGCTGCACACAAGGACTTTGATGTCTATCAAATGGATGTTAAATGTGCATTCTTGAATGGAGAGCTTGAAGAAACAGTGTATGTTGAACAACCACCAGGTTTTATTAACGAAGAACATCCTAATCATGTTTATATTTTAGATAAGGCTGTTTATGGGTTAAAACAAGCACCAAGAGCATGGTATGCCACACTTACTAATTTCTTAAAACAATCAAAATTTAAACAAGGATCAGTTGACCCCACATTATTTCATAAAAAAGTTGGGAATCATCTTATGCTTGTTCAAATTTATGTTGATGATATTATTTTGGCTCTACTGGCCCAACTTTATCTACCGAATTTGAGAATTTGATGAAAAGTCAATTTGAAATGAGCATGATGGGTAAAATCAACAATTTTCTTGGATTGAATATTCGTCAAAACAGAGAAGGAATCTTCATAAATCAAGAAAAATACATGAAGAATTTGCTTGAAAAGTTTGGAATGACGAATAGCACGAAACTCAGAGTGCCAATCCCAGTAGGAACGAAGTTAACACCTTCGTTAGATTCACCTGCTGTTGATCTTACTTTGTTTCAAAGCATGATAGGTTCTCTACTATACTTAACTGCAAGTAGACCTGATATCATGTTTTCTGTATGTAATTGTGCTAGGTATCAAGCAAATCCAAGAGAACCACATTTAACCGTTGTGAAGAATATCTTTCGTTATCTCAAAGGAACAATTTCGTTAGGATTGTGGTATCCTTCGAAATCTGGATTTTTCATTCAAGCATTTTCGGATGCTGATCTTGGTGGATGTACTCTTGACAGAAAAAGCACAAGTGGGGGATGTCAATTATTGGATGGGAAGCTTGTAAGTTGGCAATCGAAAAAGCAAACTTGTGTTGTAATTTCAACTGCTGAAGCTGAATACATTTCGGCTGCTGCTTGCACTTCTCAAATCATTTGGATTCAAAGTCAGTTGCATGATTATGCAATAAATATGAAAAATATTCCATTGTATTGTGATTCACAAAGTGCTATACGCATTTGTCATAATCCAGTACAACATTCGCAAACAAAACATATTGCTCTTCGTTATCATTTCATAAAAGATCATGTTGAAGATGGAAATACTGAAGTTTATTTTGTTACAACAACTGATCAACTTGCTGATATTTTCACAAAACCTCTTGATGAAAAATCTTTTATGAGAATTTTAGCAGGTTTGGGAATGATAGATGCGAATTCAGTACCAGAATCAAACATTAAAAATTAGCGAAGTGTCGATTCAGAGGTGAAATGACTCGTTCAGAGGATTACCGTATTAACCATTCAGATGTTACTATGCGTTCAGAGGCTTCGACACGCTTCGTTTTCGTATATTGGTGATGGAAAATTTTCGCGTGTTTGGTAACATCTTTCTATTTCGTTTTATTTTTTTCTATGTTTTTTAAAACTTAAAAATCCAAAAATATTTTTCTTTCTGTTGCATTTATTTTCGAAAATTCAAAAACAACAAAAAGATTTTCTTTTGTTATTTGTTTTAATTTTGAAAAATTCAAAATCACAAAAATATTGTATTTTTTTTTACAAAAACATAAAATCACAAAAAGATGTTTGTTACTTTGTTATTTTTTTTTGTTTTGTTTTCAGGATTAGAGAATCAAGCAAATGAAGTTTTTCAATGGGTCATGCTCATGTTTCTACGGGAAGGTAATATTCTTTAATCTATGTACTAGTTAAGATGTCCCTAGAAGCATGCTGCAGCATGTCGACCCAAGTCTCCAAAGACTCAATGTATGTATACGAAAGCCTTAATGAAATCTTTCATACGAAAGTTTCTTCCCAATCAGGCTTACATTCGCATTAGTTCACTGAGCTACCTTACTCTTCTCAAATGAGTTAAGAGTTTTTTGTTTGGTCCATACATAATAGAGGTACATTTGAATCTTAGTTAATCTTTTTCATCACAACTTTCTTAACACATTTCACACACGAAGACACATGTTCATGAGGTCATTGATCCAACCAATCACGACTTAGACATGTCAAACATTTGTGTTAATGATCTTAATTCATGAGTCCATGATGCAAGTGAAACCCAAATTTTCGAAATTATCAAGGAATTGACGGGGAACATTGTTCCAGATTCTAACGAAACACTTGTGTCAGTACCTATTTCGTATACTCCAAATCACATTCTTTCGTATGCGTGGTCTTGATCAAATGTTCGAAGCCCACGACATTTGTTTCCCAACAAGATCCAGCTGAACTAATTTTTCTTTGAATGTGATTTCCGTGTTAGTATCAATTCGATTCTTAGTCACTTACACATATTTTCCAAAGCAACTTGTCACTGACCACACTGGCCAAACAAGTAATTTCGGTTACAATTACTCACCTTATGTTTAGGCTGATATGTAACGAAATTCGTATGCCACCCATGAAGCCTTTAAAAGAATCCCTTCGATACTTCTCTATAAGTATTCAATTGTAATTCACGGGACAATACACAAGCTGTTGATTATCTCTCTTGATAATTAGCGAAGCAACCTTTGCCCGGGGTTTAACTGCTCTCGTGTCATTATAATTGACATCACAGAATCCAAAGTTTTGTTAAATTTGCTTCTTATCTTTTCTTTTGATACACTGCACTCACGAAATCCTTGAGGTTCTAAGCAATACCAACTTAGACTGAAGATTTCACAAGTTTGGCAAATGACTTCATTTCGAATCCCAAAAACAAAAGAGCCTAGCCTCCAATCCGAAGGGTTCGATCTTATCCACAAGTACTCACGAACAGTCTAAAGTAACCGTTTGGCAACTTGGCCCTAGTTTCAAGGCACTTTATTGAACATGATCATTACAACAGCTACTACTGCGAGTTTCCAGGAAAGACGTGGCCTAATATTTAATGAGAAATGGTTCAGATTAATTTTGGGATACCTATAAAAGGCAATTCCTTTTACAGTGTTCATTACGCGATTCAAAATTTCTCAAAAGATCAAAAAGCCCTAATTTGCTCTCAAAGATTTTAACTCAACAATGGCTGTTGTTCATCAATCAACCACAGAAGAAGTTTCTTCTCAACCCATAATGAAGATTCAAAGCACCAACTACCAGGTCGAATCAAATGTCTCATTGTATCCAGATGAACTGAAGATGCTCATCGTTGCTCTGAAACGATCAGGGCTTTCAACTGCAATGTTCAACTCCTTCCCTGTTCCGATGACATGGCTGTCAATGGCTGCATGTCACATTCAACCTGGTGAATGACAGAAGGATTCGTCTTACTTAGAGTATGTTTACGAAGTTCTTGTAGATTCCCAACTCTCCACCATTCTTCAAGCCCAACAACAAACAAATAATGTTCATGTTCAACGAGATGGGTCATCAACCCCCACTCGAGAAGATTAGTGACTTCAAGAAGTCAGGTCTTCCCTGTATGTGGAACTTTCTTTTCGGAATCTGTCTAAGGTGCTTGACAGGACACACTGTGGGCTTAGACAAGGGCAGATTGGAAGTTTATGCCATGATAATGGGTCTATACTATGATCTGAGTGTAGACTATGCCACTCAACTTTGGAAGGAGTTTACCAAAAGCCTAGAAAACACAAGTGTTGCCAAGGGCATTTCGTGTGCTAGGTACTGGAGTCTGATTTTGGAGAAGGTTTATGAGAAAGAGGGAATTCAAGTCCCTGAGGGTGAGGAGGTTGCTGAGTTTTCGAAATATCAATTTCCCAAGACTGTTGAAGATGATGAGAAAATGTTCACAAGTGTTGCTCGAATTCCAGATGCAATGCTCAAAAAGGTGAATCCAACTCATAAGATCTTGGTGAAGTACTTGAAAAATGTAAACCCTAATGTGCAAACTGGGGTCTTACTTGAAGTCGAAGCTGGTTCCTCAAAGCCATCTAAGAAAACGAAGTCAGATGGTGATGAATTGAAAGTCACAAAGAATAAGTCGTCACCTAAGCAAGTAAAGGGGGATGATTCAAAGAAGCCAGAGGAGAAAGAAGCACGGCCTTCGAAAGAAGTGGTTCCTACAAAGTCAGGAGTTCTTAAGCGACTTCGTAACATTTCATCAAAACGAACTTCGTCTGAAGACTCTCAGACCGTTCGAAAAACTCAAGTTAGCAGCAAAGGGGTTGTCATCCGGGAAATACCTGCTCCTGCTTCTCCATCATCCAAAAAGAGAAGAGCTCATGATGTTGCGAAGCACATCACTGAGAAGAGGTATAAACGAAGACTAGTGGTCCGAGACGACTCTTCAGATAATGAAGCAGTCCCCGAAACTCCGTTACTTTCAATTGCTCCTATGGTAACTTCTATGCCTCTTATCTCATCAATTTCACATGTTTCTACCATTTCCACTACAACTACACTTCCACTCGAAATAGTGGTATCCAAATCATTTCATGAGGAGGTTCCTATTTCACACATCACTGCTAACGTATCTGATACGGGAGCAAATGTGACTACGAGTGTCGACTTTTCGAAGCCCATTATTCTATCCACTTCATTACCACCAACCACTTCGTTTGTTTCACTACCACCCTTTATCCTACCCAATTCAACTGCCACTACTGCTCCCATATTTGACCAAATCCTACAACAACCAATCACCACTCTCTTTTCATCACAATCAACAGAACCATCAAAACGTAATTCCGATGAAGAAACAGAAGGAGGAGGTTTCGGAGGAACTTTTGATGATCTACACTTTGATTCGGAAGAGGAGGATATTCCCGATCACATGTTGATGTCGGGCAAGCAATTTAAGATTTTGAATCGAAAGTTGAATTCTATCCTTCAGTCCCAAGCTGTTTCGGGTGCCAAGCATTCAGTTTCGGGTCTTGAAGTTGACGTATTGCTCAAAGCTGCTCAAAGAAGATTACAAGAAAAGCTTGACCTATCTGATAAAAACAATGAGCTTCACATTAAAGCTCAAGGTGGGATATTCGAAGGAGCCTTACAAGAGTTGAAAACTGTTGCGAAGGAACGTCATGTTCTCTTCGTACAGGATGTCAAAAAGGTTCGTGAAGATGTGAACCTCAAACTTGAAGAATTGAAGAAGGAAGTTACTCAAGAGATACAAGAAGTTCATTCTCAGTACACTTCAATTCAAGGGAAAGTCGATATTATCGCTGGGGCAGTTACTAATTTCATTCAGACTTTGCAAGAGACGATGCCACAGTTCGAAGCTCAAGCAACTGATGCTAAAGCTCAGTTTGCAAAGTTGGTTGACCTACTTGATGAGTTGAAGCAACTTGTTTCGAAGCATTCTCAACAAACATTTTTAACTCCTGAGTTTCTCACTCAGAAGTTAAATGTTCTCGATCAAGTCATACAAAAGGCGGTTGCTCCTATTTCCAAGTTTGCTCAGATACTGCCGCAAAATGCCCCACCTGCTTTCACAGGGGTGCAAGGGGGAGAGGGTAAAGTGAGCAAAGGATCGAAGGTTGAAAAGAAAAATGATCCAAAGGGAGATGGGGTTAAAACTTCAACTGAAGACGCGAAGGTGGTTGGGAAGGTTATCTCATCACAAATTTCGAAGGGGATTGTAATTGGGTCAGCTACTGAAGGGGGAAGTTCGAGTTCAAAGCCAAAAGCTTTGGATGTTGGAAAAGGAAAAGGGGTTGTAGTAGAGAAAACCAAAGAAGAAAAGAAAGCTGAAATTAAAGCTGAAATCGAGCTTCAACGTCAAATTCAAAGTGTTTTGAGGCTGAGGGAAAATGACCCACCTGGCATGGAAAAAGGTGATCCCAAGAAGCTTTACTCATATGAATCTATCGAGTCTCGAGTTGTATTCAATCATATGAATGCATTCGAAAAGAAGCCAAGGAGGAGTTACTCGATAGCTAATACTGACATGAGCCGGTTAGACTTTCCAATAAACGAAATGATGTTTATAACTGCTCAATACAAAGTTAGTGAAAAGTTTAAAAACCCTGATGACTACGTGCACATGAAGATTCGTTTTCATGCTATGCTCGGAAAAGAACAAGACGAAGTCTGGTTCTTAATCAAGATCAAGAAAGTTGTTGCAATCAAGAAAGACGTAATGTTCGAAGACATGATACAGAAATTCAGGTATCATGTTGTTCGTGCGAACAACCAGGAAATAGACTTCAATGTAGCTGACTTCCCACTAATGAACTTGAATGATCTTATTCAAGTTGCATTGATTCTAAAAGACATGGAAGCATCTCAGCTAAAGGGTACAGACAAGGATGTGTTTCGACTTGGTCTTGCACACCTTAAAATTTTCATTGACAATTATTATGATTGTCTGGCCCTGACTGACGAAGAGCTGGCTTCGGGCATTGAAAGGAAAGTTACTGTGGCGATGGAACCTACGAAGGCCCAAACTGAACTCAAGAAGTATGATGATGGGGAGATATGCCTAAAACCATTTGGCATGGTCTTTGCTGGAAAGGATACGAAGGGGAAGGCTAAGAGGTTCTTATTCCAAGTTGCAGAGATAGAACGATATACATCGTCTCAATATACGAACTTCATTGTTCGTATGAATAATTGCACGAAGAATAACGAAGGAGACAAGAAGGAGGTAAGGAAGATCATTACTTGGTACTCCGACATACGAAGGACGATGCACTCAGTTGCTCAGGTTCTTACAAACTGAGTATCTTCGACTTGTTTACAAAGGGGGAGAATGTTAGGGTCGAAATATTGTAAAAAGTCGAATAGTGTAGTGTCCATTTCGTATGTAACCTATTTACTAAGTCAATTTTATACGAAGCTTAATGTTTAGACTTAGTATTTTTTGTACTCTCCTGTTCCTATAAATAGGGACTGAGCTTAGACTTAGACTAACGAGTTTTCCCATTTCGTAGTCTGTTTTTTGTATCCAAGTTCATTGAGAGTAATAAAGCTGAAACCAGATTATATTTACATTTCGTGTTCTTATTTGATCTGAACTTGTTTAACTCTGATTCATATTCGATTACTCGTATACAATTCCTCTTCATTAACTTTCTACCTTGTTCAAATTCATTCATCTCACCAACGAATTAAAATCAACCCAAATCCAAAATTTAGGAAAAAAATTGCTAACTATGAACGAATACTATAGTTAGGGTTAGGGAGAGGCATATAGAAATCAAAGAGTCCCTGATGAGCTTCACTTCGAATCAAGCAGGACACCAATGACAATTTTCAAGTGAGTGGTGCATTCCATATAAGTGAGTGCAAATCAAAAGCAATACCATTATCCCAATTTTATGAAATCAAATAGGTGATTGTTCCAAAAACTGATTGTTCATATAGACCAAATCAAAACTAGTGATGATTGATGTAGTTTTTGTAGTAAATCTTCAATTTTAGAATAAAAGATGAACATTAAGACATCCGATAGAAACTGTGATGCAAATAAAAAATAGCACCAAAATTAATAGTGTTGAATCACAAGAAACGAACTGCTGATTGTGTACCAGGTCCGAGAAATCGTGTTCATGGTTATGAAGGAGGGACGTCCACCAACAGTAAACTGTGCGAGATGAAGGTATCAGAAAATGAAAGAACTAAGAAAAGACATAATTATTTTTTTACTTGATTCCAAGGACATCATTAGCTACCCCGGAGTCAAGCGAGTCAGCTACCATACACCGCCGTCAGTTCAAGTGGTTCTAGAAAAGAGAAGACAAGTCCTCCCTTCCATCATTGATATTGTTAAGAGTGGAGGAAATAGACTGTGGCAATGGCGGTGTGCTGTGATTTTCCTCAGTTCAAACAAATGGGTCGGGATTCTGATATGATAAGCATAACCCTAAAGTTGTTGCTGTTGATTTAGAACCCTAGCCTAACCACTAAACCCTTAATCTGAATTTCATAATCGAAATTTTGATCCCTCACTGGCGATGCTCCTTACCACCATAGCCTCTTCACGCCGATTTCAGGTGTGTACTTCAATTTCACAAACCCTCTTCATGGAAACCACCACAAACCTGGAAGATCCACCTTCTTCATATGAACGAAGCAGCGAAGAGAGAACAAAATGTTTTGTGCAGGTCGGGTGGCATAGTGATGGAAAGGATAGTTATGGAAAGGTTCGAGAAGTTGGAAGCTGACTGGAGAACAATAGCGGTGGTGGCGGTGGAATATGATAGGGAATTTGTGACGTAAGTGTAAAATAAGAAAAGAAAGGGAAGGGAGGTGAGTGTAAAATCCCAAAAAGGTGTGGCAATTGTGTTAACCTATAGAAATTTGTGTGGCCAAATTGAGAGTGAAAACATTCCTGTTCACCAACTCTTTAGGAATTTATATGTCGATATAATGGTTTCACTCAAAATAGAAAATCAAAAAACTTAATTTGTTCTCAATAATTGCCAATGTTAACTATCTTTTTTTAAGTTGGCATTTATAGGACATTTTATCTAGAATGTTGTTTTCGGTTACCATTAAAGCTAATCAAGTGAACTATTCTATAAATCTTAGTTCTTATAACATATTTTATATTGAGTTAGATATTTTTTAAAGATGATAAAACATATCATAATATAAAAAGGAACGAAAAGACCTGATTCTTGAGTATCTATTTTTACCAATATAAATTTTCTTTTGTTTTGAATCTTCAAAAAATAGATTGCCTAATAGGAATTTCATCAAAATTGGTAGACACTAAAACCAAATTTCCATATTATTTTATTTGAAATAAGTAGAAAAATACCCTTATTGACTTACAGATCCGCCCATGATCACTGAAAAAGTTCCCTCATATGACCTGTTACTCAATGGGTGCCAACTATGAAACAATAAGCTACAAGGTTTGGATGTGGGTGATTTGTTGCTGCGGTAGACAATAGCAATACAACAAAAAGTAAAGAATTATAAAATGAATGTTCATTTTTAAACTATAAAATTCACTCACACCTTATACATGTTACCTACATTGTGTGAAATACATTCGGTGATGGATTCCACAGTCTTCTTGCCTTCCCAAGTGTATCAAGTGTAGAAATCTTTCTATTAAAGTGAGAAATTAAGAAGAAATAATAATATATGAATCGTTGACGAATTTATATATTAAATCATCTGTGACATCCCCAAAATCTCGGCCAGAAAAGACCGGTTTCATTTATGCTTTAAAATTAATTTCAGAGTAAATCCATTGATTTAAAAGAGTTGCGGAATTTGTTCCCAAACAAAACATGATAAAATAATATTTACCAAACATTTCATAAAGAAAATGTATTTTCATTAGATATCAAAACTCGGGATGTCATGTTCCGATACAGACCAAAAAGCATAAACGACGTATTACAAGCCATACACAGTTATATATAACAACAGGCTTATAAACAAAATATCTTCACAAGTTCTCCAACTTATGCCCTTGCGCCACTTCCTGTAATACAAATAAACTAAGTGGGTCAGGCTTGGGAGCCTGGTGAGCATATAGGGTTTTCAACCCACAATAAATATTATATTTAAATTCACCAACCAACAATAACCAAATTACCCATTCCCGTTATCCTCACTTTACGTCCCTAAGACAACCACTATTACCAGGGACCTAATCTAGGATTTTTCATCGGGACGGACATTACTGCAAAGGGGTTTCCTCAACAATAGATATCCTAAAGGCAACCATGAGGGGGATAGAATACAACAAATGAACACCCAAGTTCATTACACCTACACGTTATGTGAAGGGCCAATATATATGGTTTGGGCTAGGCAACAATGTATAGATGAGTTAGGGCATTTGTCAATGTATTTTGGAGTCTTTTGTGTGTGTTTGACGTTTTCGGTCCAGGCAAGCTTTCGGTTGGGAAGTGACCGAAAACAGGCTTTCGGTCAGCCTGACCGAAACCTGTTTTCGGTCCATTTTTGGTATATATATAGGTTGTCAGGCTGTCAGTAGTTGATCTACAGTTGCTCACTGCTAGTTTTCGGTCCATTGAGTTGTATCAGACAATTTCGTGTGTGAATTGTATGCAAGCTCAAGTTTCATTCCACTTCTACTCCATTTCTTCTTTATTTTCATTTGCTTGATTGATCATTGGTGAAGATCCTTCCATCAAGGACCTTACAATTGGTATCAGAGCAAGTCCGGTGTCAATCAAGTGTGTTTTTCAGTTTTCGGTGCTTCACAGCCGTGTTGTTCACAATTTCAGTATCTAGAAGCTCATTGTTTGCTCGAGTTTTGAAGATCAGATCACAATTTTTTTGGTGTGGAATTGAGATCTGCTTGGATTTCAGCTTTTCGCTTGAAATCTTATTGTTTTCGGTTTGATCTTCATCAACCGAAAATCTATCTTCAACCGATTTCTGTCAGATCTAGTGTGTTTTGAAGCTGCAGTTGGTATTTTCAGTGTGTGGAAATCGAAATCGGATAGAAAATCTAAGTTTTTCATTAAAAACTGTTAGTTTTCGGTTTAATCTTCAGAAACCGAAAATCCAAAATCCTTTGAATCTTCAGAAACCGAAAACTATTCTTCAACCAAAAACTCTTCAATCTTCAGAAACCGAAAACTGTTCTTCAACCGAAAACTCCTTGATCTTCAGAAACCGAAAACCCCCTTTATCATCATAAACCAAAAACCCTTGATCCTTCATAAACCGAAAACCCCTTATCATCATAAACCGAAAACCCTTGATCCTTCATAAACCGAAAACCCCTTATCATTCAGAAACCGAAAACCTCTTTTATCTTGTTTCTCCTTTCAACCGAATTCCTTGTTTTCGGTCATCACCACTCAACCGAAAACCACTTTCCTTGATCTTTTTGTTTGCCTTTCAAGTTAATTTTTATTAAAAATTTAAAAAAAATAAAAAATAAATAAAAAATAAATAAAAAAATGGAATCTCAAAGCATGTCAGCTCATCATGAATTAGATGCGATTATGGGAACCACTTCTCGAATTCCCCGACTGTTATCCGCGGAAGGATTTCCAGAATGGAAATATCGGATCGAAAAGTACATCAAAATGAAGGATTTCAAGATATGGCGAAGCATTCTTAGAGGTCCAATCCGCATCACAACCACATTGGAAGATGGAACCATAATTGATAAGCAAGTTGAGAACTACACCGATGATGATTTTGAGAGAGTCGAGGAGCAGGAAAAGGCTCTTGCTACACTTACCATGGCATTATCTCCGGAAATTGCTCAAGGTTTCCGTGAGTATACATCAGCAAAGGCCTTATGGGAAGCACTGATAGAAGTCTATGAAGGCAACGAAGACATGAAACAGAGTCGCCAAGACATGCTGCGACAAAAGTTCAATATGTTTAACCATGTCTTGGGAGAAACACTTGAGAATCAGTTGCAAAGGTTTATCACACTTACCACAGAAATGAGCTCTGCTGGTGTTATGGTGACAAGATCAGAGATAAACAAGAAGCTGCTAAACTCTCTACCAAAATCCTGGGATATGAATGTCTCAGTGATTAAAAAGACCAAAGATTTGAACAGGTTGAGTTTAGCTGAAACGATGGCAATCATTAAGGCTTGCGATCTCGATGATAAGCAAAGGGAGATTAATCATGTTAATTCATACTCCACAGCAAATCTTGGGATCCAAACCACCAACAACACTGCTTTCTCAAGTTTCTCAACTCCTCAAGCTCCTCCAGTTTCTCATGTTCCACAAGTTCAACCCTATGTGACTCATCAGCCCACTTCATACGTTATCCCTCAAATGCAACACATTCAAGTTCCTCAACCTCAAACTTTAGCTCAACAAGTTGGTTCTAGTGTTGGTTCATCCACAGCTGCACCCATTCAATCTCATGGAATCAGTTCTCAAGCTTCATCTTTAAAAGAGAAGGAAGAAAATCTGGCCCTCGCCACTGGTTTGGTAAACTGCTACAACGCTTTTGTGGCCGGAGAACTCTCCCCACAACTCTCATTTGCTGACCTAGACCAGATCCATCCTGAGGATGTGGAAGAGATGGACATTACATGGCAAATGGCCATGGCGGTTTTCAGGGCAAAGCAGTTCTCCAAGAAAACAGGAAAGAACAATTGGAGTGTGAATTCCGACAAGAAAGTGGGATTCAACAAAGGAAAACTGCGATGTTACAACTGCCATGAGCCTGGGCATTTTGCAAGGGAATGTCCAAAGCCAGATCGAAGAGAGAATTCTGAGCGAACCATGGTGCCGGTGACCTATGTCAACAAGGGATCTTCTTCAAGCAATCAGACTGCTAACTTGGCGATGGTGGCCCAATCCTTTGATTGGGAAGATCAAATTCAGGCTCTGAATATTTCAGGACCTGAAAATGCGCATCTTGCTCAAATCAAGGATTGTGTGGAGGAAGAAGCAGAGAAAGACCCTGAAGAAGAGATGATGAATCTTCAGTTTGCGTTCATGGTGCAAACTACTCCTGAGCCAGCCAAACCCGAGGTCAGTGAATTTGGTTGCTCTCAATCTTGCATGAAAACTGTTAAATTCTTACGTGAGCAAATTGAATTAATCAAGAGAGAGAACGAGGACCTTAAGTATGAGGGTTACACACTTAGGAAAAATCAAAAGCCTTTAAAAACACAATTAGAGAATAAAACAAAGGACTTTAAGAAACTGCAAGAGGATTACAGCAACAAATGCGAGAACTATGATCATCTCAAAAGAAAATTTGCTGTTGTGACCGCTGAACTTGACTCATTGAAAAATCGTCTTGAAAATGCTGAATTTATTTTTAACAAATTCGATGGGTCAAGTGAAGTAGTTGCAAAAATGATAGAGGGACAGATGCAGTGGAAGGACATTACATGTGGAAACCAAAAGAAAGTAGGATTAGGTTTTGAGAGTGTCCCTCCTCCATTCAATCATACCTATACTGTCATTCCTCTATCTCAAGAAGAGATTGATAGAGAACCTTTCTTAGTTTATGGAAAGCCTGCTTCTGAACAAGCAACATGCTCAAATGATAAAATTTTGGATACTAACATTTCTACCTCAAGTGCAGATATGTCAGTAGTTCAGGGGGAGCAAGAAGCTGAAAAGTCTGAGTCAATAATTTGTGTCTAAATTTGGTGTTGAATTTGTGATGAATCTGTGTTAAATTCAAACACTAATGTTTTTGTTTCTGGTGGTGTGTTGTTTCAGACTGATAATTGTGAAAATAATGGTGTTGTTTCTGATAAAGTTGCTAAATCTGATTTTGAATGCTTCTAC